ACTCATAGTGGCACTGTGCAGGGTTTCCAAAGCTGAAACTACTAGCTGTTCCGCGGGAGAAAGATGAGGTGTTCTGCTCCCGTAAAGATTTGCAGCCTCAGAAACCCTGTATAGGGTTGCTATGAGTTGGAACCGACTACAGCCACCCTATATATAGATGTTGTTGTTAAGTGCCGTTGAGTTGATTTCAACCCATAGCAACCCTGTGTAGGGTTTCCAAGGAGCAGCTGGTGAGCTTGAACCGCTGTCATTGCAGTTCAAATGACTCTGCATTCTGGTGCATTAACCCACAGCGCCACACCAGGACTCTCAATTACTGTTTAGAACATGGGAAACATTTGTTTCCAAACTTCTTATCAGGCCAACTCTTCTCCTGTCTTAACTCCTTCCAATCCTTACCCTATCATCCATAGCAGTTTGGCTTCTGTTTTTAACCTATGAGACTCAACAGAAACTACAATACATTTAAACAGTTAATTCAGCTCATGTTTAGAGAGAGAATTTTTTTTTTTTTTTTATTGTGTGATAGTTTACATGGGGGAACATTAGCTTTTACCCTCATTCTATCATACATCGTTTCATTGCCATAGTTACCATCCCGTCCATGCATCATTACCCAACCAAAGGTTATACCCCGCAGGCCCTCCTCCTCCCACGGTCCTCAGCACACAGCTCCCTTCCCTCCCTGGATCTCAAGTCCTTAGCCACTCCATCTCTTCATGTCATCCTCTCTGTCTCCATCTCAGGCCTCACTGCTGAGAGGGAATTTTTTTTGAGTCATCATTCTCTCAAGAAAGTGAATGAGTTATTGTTTCAAATATTAGTTAAATTAGGAGAATTAAGTGCATTTTTATACACAAGGTGGAAAAGTCAGTTCTGAAGTGAACCTGGATTCAATGCATATTTATAATTTTGCTTTGCATTCTCTCCCTTTCGATTAGGATTCTTCTCTAGTATCATTGATCAAAATGTTCATAAATTGTAGCCGGGCAACATCCAGTTCTTTTGTCCTCATGAAGAGGAGATAGTTGTTCATGAATGCCATTATCCACACATTCCATAACCACCTCCTCTTCCTGACTCTCCTTCCTCTATTGTTCCAGATGAATAGGGACAAATTGTTTGGATGGTCTGTTGCAAGCTTATGTATATTTTTACATTAAAGAAAAACTTCTCAATGGTCAAGTCCTGGTGTGGTGCTGTAGAATAAGCAAGGGACTACAAGGTTGATTTAAACCTCAAGGTTGGTGGTTCAAACTCACCAGCCACTCCTTGGAAACCCTCCTTATGCAGGGTTGCTGTCAGTCAGAACCGACTTGACCGTATTTAGCCACACCACCACCACTCAAGAGTTGGGATTTAATAAAATTAACTAATCTTTTCCGTTTCATAAAGGACATTCTTAGTTTATGCCACTGCCTTGATGGTGTTAAGGTACCAGGCTATTCTACCCACTACTACAAATGCTAAAACAGTGAAAGAACAAATAATTTCAGTATTGTGAAAATGATTTTTAACCTTGAAGACTCCCTGAAATGGTCTTAGAATCTGTAGAACTCACTTTGGAGGCCTGCTGTAAGAATGTTACCATTTTATGGTTAAGATTGTTGTTGGGATAAACCTTACATGCTGTTTATAGGTTAGGTAGGAATTTGTTTCTCTTTTAGGAGGTTTACAGAGTTGTTGGAATTGTGGTATGTAGCATATGCAGAAATGGCCAATAACTAGTAGTTTTAAGTCTTAGTGATTTCAGTAGAACGTGATGTGGATTTTGTTCTTTTAAAAATTACTTTGTAAACAGGTTCCATTATGGTTTATTGTCATGCTTTCTATTAGATTGCATTTTTCGCATACTATAGAAATTTATAATGTAAGATCACTTTTTATATAAATTATAATTTTATTCAGATTCCACTTAAATTGAAATTAATTTTTTCCTCTATATGCTAATTTAGGACTAATGGTTCATATAGATTTTACTTTGAAAAATTAAATTCTTAAAGATTACATTTCCTTACAAACTTTAAAAAAACGTTCTCTATTATGGAAATTTACATAATTTCATATCAAAGTAGACAATGGTATAATGTACTCCCACATGCTCACCTAGTTCCATCAGTTATCAAACTCATGGACAATCATAGTTAATTTATACTCCATTCATGTCCTACCTGCTCCCCCTTGATTATTTTGAAACAGATGCCAAATACCACATCATTTCATACTAACATCATCCAGTATATAGCTCTTAAAAATAAGAATTTAAGATGGAAAAGAGGATAAAAATACTATAATTTGGTTTCTCTCATAAGAAATGTGCAGATAACCTACTAGTGCCTAATACAAACGTTTTTAGCCTCTGACGGTTTTTGTATCTGTATTCTCTGCTTTACCAGTTACATTGAATTGTCTCCCACTCATGGCAGTCCTATTTGTGTCAGAGTAGAACTGTACTCTGTAGGATTTTCAAATGACTAAATTTCCAGACCTTTCTTTTGAAGTGCTACTGGGTGGAGTCAAACCTCCTGTCTTTCAATTAACAGCCAAGGGTTTGACTGTTTGCACTGCACAGGGTCAAACATTCTCTGATTGTTGTTGTGCCGTCAAATCAGTTCCAATGCATAGCGACTCTATAGGGTTTTAGAGCACTGCTGTTGGGTTTGAACTGTTGACCTTATGTTTACCAGTTCAGTGCTTACCCTACAGTGCTACACTAGGGCTCATTTTCTCTTATTAGAGATGTCTGATAATATTGGTTGTAACACTTTTGGGAATGAATATTTTCTCTTGAAGCTTTTCTTCCTGCTTACTTTGATCACTGGTATATCATTATAATAGTTGACAAGGCAGAAAGATCAAATAGGGCTGAGTAGGAGTTTTGAAATTGCTGAAAGGTTTTGGCTTTTTCAGGATGAAGAGACTCGGCACAGCCTTGAGTGCATCCAGGCCAATCAGATCTTTCCCAGGAAGCAGCTGATCCGGGAGGATGAGAATCTTCAGGTAACTATAGGTTTTTGATTGTAGCAAAGCCAATGGATTAAAGTAATAATACCCTGTACGTGTTTTTTTTCTTAAACCGTATACATAGTTAGAAATGTATACTTTCATTTTAGAACACATCTCTCATTTCAGAAAGAATGATTTCCTGAGAATTCCCTGTTTGAGATGATCTCTGTCATTCCTTTAGTAAAATCTGAATAATTAGGTGTGTTTGAATTACTTGAGTTTCAGTCTATCCTCTTTATATACTGTGATTTAAAAGCTTGGGTAACAGGATTGCTGCCCATTCATCTGACCTATATTTGAAGACTGTTTACTGCTTCAGAACTCTAAAGGGTTTCTTCTTCCATTTTGAAGGTTCCTTTCCTTGAACTTCATGGAGAGAGCACAGAATATGTGGGCCGTGCTGAAGAGGCCATCATTGCGCTTTCTAATTACAGACTTCACATCAAGTTCAAGGAGTCACTTGTAAATGTAAGTGATTACCAACTGTTCTCCTTCTAAGGTGGATGGAAAAAAGAAATAAAAAACTTTTGGTTGTATTAATGTTCTCAAAGAGTAGAAAGACATACAGGGTTGAGTATTAAAGTATTGAAACTTTGAAGCATTGTATGTACTTCTTTTTTCTCAGCCTAATATTTAAAGGGACACTAGGTTAGCAAGTACCTTTTATGTTTGATTTATAGTGATGCCCATGTAGTTGTCAGCATGTGAGAGGTGTCCAGTGTTTAATGACACTGACATATTTGCACTAGGTAATGCTGTATCATTAAGCTTTATAAGGGTCCAAAGCTATATGGACTTTTCTTCTTTAATCTTTAATAGTTATCAGCTGCCTCTGTTGAGCTAATTTTCTGCATCTTAATGTCAAATGAGATGTACTTTGAGCACAAAAATGAGATGTACCCTGAGCTCAAAAACCAACTCTCATTCTCAGTAGGATGAAGTTACTCTAATGATTCCTTAGTGGTATAGGCGTAGATGTTAAGTACAATGTTTATTTGCATAATGGACTATATGCATTACTGAAGGAAAGAGAGGGCTCTCAATCCTCCAGAGTGCATTTACCCTTTTCAGTTATGAGGACACCCTCAGTGAACTGGTTCTTGCAATGCACTGCCATCATTAGTAGTCTTCAGTGAAAGCCCATAGGCTCACAAAGGACAGTTCATGTGCTTCCACCAAACGAATGCCTTCGTCTTCACTTACAAGTATTGTGGTGCTCTGCACTTGAGTCCTAGCATAGAGACTTACATTTTAATACCTTATGACAGCTCAGGACTGGCTCCATTCAAAGCATGTGTTTAGGTTCCTTTGAGGATTCTTTGAAGTGTATCACTCATGTTCATTTTACTCGGCAGTTCATAAGTTACTCAGAGTCCTTAGTCACATTCTTTCATTCCTCTAAAGATTCAAGTGGCTGCAGTCTTCTCTGTAATTGGTCTTTATTAAGTATTTATGTCCAGGAGCCATTCTGGCCTGAATTCCCTTTAGCTTCTCTATATTTGGACTGTGATCATATGTCCTGTTCAGCTGACTCAAGCAACTATTTGTTTTCTTTCCATCAGCTGAAAATACATACCATATTCACCAATGCAAGAGGTATGCTGCTCTTTCATACCACCTAGTCCTGGGTTCAGAAGTATCTGCTTGGAATTAAGTCAGGTGTGATGAGTAGGGATAAGGTGGAAACTCTTCCAAGATCCCAACAGTTTTCCACCAGCTACTGTAGAAGTAATGACAGTAATAATTAGTCCAACTGGCCAGTTTAATTTTGTATATGCTCATTGTTTAAATTGATAGTGTCAATGAAACTGTAATTAAATTTATTTGCAAGTAGAGGCTAATTGGAAAGGAAGCAGAAATCTGATCATGTCATTCACCATATTAAGTGCTTCAGTGTTTATTTACTACTTCTAAGTTGAAGATCAAATTGCTTAGCATGGTATCAAGGTTGTTTGATATCCTTTATCCTTGCCAGCTTTTCTGTCTTCTCTGTGTTTCCCATTTTCCTCTTAGTACTGGTGAAACCAACCTCTGGCAATATCCAACCATACCTCATACTTTTGCCTTCTCTCCTCTCCTGTCCAGTGTATTTCTCTTCATCCTTCAAAACCCAGCTTCAGTCTGTGAAGCTTTTCTCAGTCCCATTATCCTCCTTGATAGTTATTTACACCCTCTGCTACCCTTTTCTATACCTTGAAACATATGTTACAAAATTTACTAGATAAGTAATATTTTTATATTGTCTCTTCAGGATATCTAGCATGTCTCCTGGTACCATGATACACTGTAAATATTAAGTGAATTGGAGTTAGTATGGGTTGAAAATGAACTTTAGATTACTTTTCCTATTTGGGATGTCATGTTCTCCCCTCTCCCTCAATAAGTTTAATTTCAGAATTCAGGGCCTAAATGAAGGCTGAAGAGCAGACTCTAGTAGGATTTGGACTGACTTTTTACTCTGACCTCACAGCCCAGATAGGAATGACTGAGTGAGAAGAACTAAACTTTAAATATACAATAGACTCTAAGATGATACTTCATTTTAGCTCTAGGTAGCAACAGATGTTATAACAGGGAATCCAGATGTTTAAAAAGGAATGGAATCAAGGGTCACCATTGCCTCAGTCACAAAGAATCGCTGACATTTTGCCAGATTTCTTGATTCCATTTGTGACTGGGGACACTTCTGTGGCTTTCACTTTTAGCTTCTTGTGTTTCTTCTCCATTTTTTATTTCTGTTCGAAAGCCTTCTTTCTCTTTTTTCCTCGTCCATTTCCTTGGCTGGATGTTGGACTGTGTCTCAGGGACTTTGTCTTGCCATTTCTACTGCCCAAAATTTACTTTAAAACAACATAGTTCTGTGTGAAAAGACCTGTGTGTATTATACATCACCATTGTCTTGAATGGTAGCTGTATGACTAAGGTTACTGGAATTGCTGGTCCCTGTTGTGATTGAGATACAATGGTTATGGAAACTTAACCACTCCTCATAGTTTTGACCCATTTCCTCATATAAAAGCTGTTTCTCAATATGATTATAACCCTTTAAGAAATAGAGCCCTGCATGTTACTTGAATAAAATAAGAAGGTCAGGGGTAATGGCTTTGCACAGAAAAAACATTGTGCAAAAATATTTTGGGATTGCAGTGAATTTAAATGTTTTAGATGGAGAAAGACCAGGCCTTCTCTGTACAATGAGTTAATTTCATTGGAGTTAGTGTTTAAAAGATACTGAAATCTGAAGCTCCTCCTGCTGTAGGGCCTAGGTGGAGATGTGGGAGTTGGTGTTGCTGTCCTTTCCTCCTCCCCACCTTCCCTCAGCAGACAAGTGTGGGATTAAGAGGGCTCCTTAAAAGTTAATATATTTAAGTCAGACACATTGAAACCATTGAAGACCAAATGTGCTGATATATTTTAAGGCATGCCCCACTTTGCATCATTTTGTATGCCTAAATCAACACATCTGGCACTTTAGAAAGTGACTTGCCATCAAGTTTTAAATAGTTACCTGATATCATATATTCTCTTTTAATTTCAAAGCACATTAAGTAAAATGTGTGGAGTTAGATACCATATGCATCATTACTTTAATCCACACACATTCACTGAATACCAAGTTTCCAATTCCTCAAAGAACCTCTGTAGAGTTTGTTTGTAGAATTTAAAGTGTAGATTGTTCTCCTCATAGGATGTTCCCAAACTGTATTTTTACATAAATATAGGTATATTTCATTGATACTTAGATAACTTATAAACAATTTAGTGCTAAAGTAGAATTCATGAAAATTTAAAACAATTTTTTGTTGTGTAATTTAATAGACTGCTTCTCAATCTACTGCTTCTGAAATCCCAGTAAGTCGCATGAAAATCTGAGCTAGCTGCTACACCTGTGCTTGGAACAAATTGGTTTAGAGTGTCAGATACTCACTTTGTAAAACAGCAGATTGTCTCATCTCTGCATGAGTCCCTTCCCTCTTAACCAAAGTCCTAGTGGTACCCTGTAATGAGAGCAATGGGAAAAGGTAGGGTGAGGACAAAGCCCTACAGACTACATACATCTAAGTGGATAGAATTGTGACCTACAAAAAATGTATACTGAATTTCAACCAGGAATAATTTATAAAATCAGTATACTGGAATAAAATGTAAAATCAACATTAGTATTTAAGATATCAAAAATTTCATTTATAAGCCCCTTAGGTAAAAGATCGAAGCATAGCAGCTAGAAATACCTTTCCTTAGCATTTCTTCACATAAGCACTGGACAGCTAACCACAAGGGTGGCAGTTCAAACCCACAAGCTGCTTCATGGGAAAAGATGAGGCTGTTTGCTCCCATATAGACTGACAGCCCTAGAAACCCTACATAGAGTTTCCATGAGTCAGATGTGACTTGATATGACAGTGGGTTTGGTACACTTTGACTGTATATAGCAAAATCTTCATTTCCCATGTCTCAGAAGGAGGTTGATAACTTAATACACTTTGTCAGCATTCACACATACCAGCAAAGACCTCTGAAACCAGTGTGTAAGTATTAAAGGTAAACAATAAAAGAATTGGGTCTTTGACTAAGAAGGTCTTCCTCCTCTGACTGGGTTTTAAATGAAAAAATTTAGTGCCCAGGCTTCCCCTTTTTATTACAGATTTTAGGCTTAGACTCATTACTTGCTGTATTTTCATTATGCTACTGCCAATTTTACTTCAGATGTGTGTACAAAATCAGCACTTCCCATTTAGGCTATAAAAAGGGCATCTGTTCTTGAAAAGGTAGAAATGACTGCACTTCTAAATTCTGGTGCCTGCAAACAATCACAAATGCACACTACTCATACATTCCCAGAGTGAATTGAGTAGATACAGTATAATAACATAAAATTCTCTTTACAGTGTGACAGTACCGTGGGCCTTTAATAGCGATGCATGTCTATTAAATGTTTTATCTGCTGTTCTTCCGCCTTTTGGATTGATGTTTTTATGGAACTTGGTGCCCATGATGTAACTTTTGGCCTTTAGAGGAGTTGGTTAACAGCACTCTGTGTGATTAATACATTGTTTGAGCATGTGTTTGGTTGAATTTCGGATTTTGTAATAGGAAAAACATTTAAAGGGAGGCAGAATGATCTGGCAGCTTGAGAAGGTAGAGAAGAAAGGACTAATAGAAAATGAGCTGCTACAAGACATTGCATTAATGGGCTAGAGAGGATTTAAAAGTGATTTTAAGATTTCTTGCCTTTTTCCTATATGTAGGATGGCCTCTATGGAATCTTGGTTTAAATGTTCTCTGTTTTTTTCATGACGTTCCCTAGTGGAGAGTCTCCTTAATTGTGAGAGGAAAAACTAGAGTTAAGCTCATACAGAAGGTAAAGGCATATATGGTGGGAGGAGGTGTCTGGGCTAGAGGATATACATGGATTCTGGTTCTGACTTTACTACCAACAATCATGTAGTTGGGTTAGTTTTCTTAAGAGATAAAATAAGGGGACTAGATTGGCTCTTTAATGTATCATTCTTTGCTTATGGGATTGAGTATTGGATATGTCTAGTTAATAGAAATGCATAGAGATCCTCGTCATATGTGAGGAAAGTTAAACTGAAAGCAATGGAAGTGACCTTGAAAAAGTAGAAAAACTTAGAACATTTTGGTTGGCTGAATGAAGAAGAAAAGAAGGTGAAGTCTGCCATATTAGAAAGGGAGGCAGGCTCTGGAGGGAACATTTTAGGCACTTGCATGGGGAGAAAACTGGGGTAGAAGGTAGAAGGACAAGGGGAGATAAAATTAACCACAAAATCAGGGTTTTCTCATTTGTATGCCTTTTTTTCTTGCTACTTACTCAATTTTCCTGCATGTAACAATATGCATGAGTATTGAAGTCTGCTGTTACCCATAGATGTGACTTGAGTACACATGATTGTTTTTGGCAACTTGCTAGTATCTGTAATCTGATTTAATGCAAGGAACCAACATTTTTTTTCCTCCTTCCTTAAATTTGTGATATGAAAATTCATATGTTGATGCATGTCAGGAGCCTATATTGTGCATGCTCTGAGGGGTTTTATTTAATTATGAAGCCCTGATGGTGTAACTGGTATGCACTAGAAAAGTCAGTGGTTCAAACTTGCCAGCTGTTCTGCTGAAGAAAGATGAAGCAGGCAGTCTGTTTCCATAAAGACGATAGTCTTAGATACTCTATGGGCCTTTCTGCACTATCCTGTAGGGTGAATCAGAGTGGGTTCAGAGTGGGAATTGACTTCATGGCAATGGGAGTTGCTTTGTTAGTCTTACTCTCAAATTTGGGCGCTGGCCCTCAGGCTCTGGTCCAGTGGTAGGGATATAAAGCTTATCTATTATCTGTAGCAGAGCGGCACAGATTGGCCCACTCCCACCTGCAGCTGCTAATAGCATTTAGTCTGTTTCCAAGTTTTCTGGCTCTTAGCAAAGGCATTTGAAGAGGACCTGGGATGCAGATGACTTCAGGGAGAGTGGTCTCTCCATGTGTATTTCATCCCAGCCTGTGACTGGGACTTCTAAATTGTGGTCATCTGAGGCTTAGACTGCAGAGGCTGGTGGTGGTGGACAGTGGACAGGGGTTGTGTAGGTAGATTGGAGGCAACTCACCTAGCTAAGGAAGCCAGGATGCAGGTCTAGAAATAGATCTTTCATTGGAAAAACCTCTGAAAATTAGGACTAAAACTCAGACCTCTTATTTTGCTAGTCTAGCAATTACCCCTTTTTGTGCATTTAAAAAGTAGTCTTGAGTCTACTACAGGGACTGGCCTGAGAACAAACCAGTGTCATCTTCCAGTCTCTGTCGTCTTAATCTCCATAGACCTCCCTTCTGATAGGTCACTTCTGTTTTTCTTGTCTCTCTCTCCTCCTCCATAGATTTATAGACCTTGAAAGAATTTTTAGCTACCTCAGCTGTAGTTTTTCACAGAACCTAGGTGTTGAGTATAAAGACTTGAGCTGAAAAACACAGAGGTCCCCAAATTCCTGTTTTTTTTCTCCAAACACAAGCAGATTTCTTAGTCTTTCTCTTATACCCAGTCCTGGTACAGTTGTAAGGGAGATCTATGGATCATAGCAAGAGGATTTAGTCAGTTCTGAGCTAAAAATTCCTAGGCATTTATCTGAGTAATATTATTTTACTTTCTTCTTTCCTTAATCCTGCCCCAATTTCTGTTTCTTGGTCCCATTGGGCTGCTTTTAGATCTGTATATCCCTTGTTCAAGGAGCTCTGGTAGTGTAGTGGTTATGAGTCAGGCTGCTAACCTCAAGGTCAGCAGTTCGAAACTACCAGCTTTTCTGTAGGAGAAAGATAAGGCTTTCTGCTCCTGTATAGATTTATAGCCTCGGAAACTCTATGCAGGGTCACTATGAGTTGGAACTGACTTCATGGCACTTAATGACGACAACCATGAGATCCCTTGTTCAGGGTTCCCTGCTGGCAGGCAGCTCCATGGTGGGGCAGGGATTGCAGGAAGCCTTAATACATAAGGATCAGCTTGTGTTGGTAGCATTCTCCTGTTGGGGCTGTTGGAGGAGACTGCCTTCTCCTCCTCATGCTAAACACAAATGGTTGAAATGCTACTTGCAACTCTCATAGCCACATCTGGTGAGGCTGGAGATTGTGTAAGAAGCAAGTGGTCTATCCCTTTTCCAAGCAGTGGTATTATCTACCATTATTGTAGCAAGCTCTCTTTTAAAGGTTTGGAAAGAGCTTTGTGAAGCCAGGGTGAACTGAGGAATAAGGAACAACAGAGGGAGGATATTGGTGTCACTCAGAAGATTGCTGTCTCTCCTGTTTGTCTCCCCCCTCTAGTTCTTTGCCACTGTTGTGGAGAGTCCTGTGTTCAAGAGTCTACTGATCAGATTGGCAGGGAGGCAATGGTTCCAGCTTGGGATCCCTTAAACCCCACTTTGTAAGCAATACTCCTCAACTGGTCTTTTGAATCAAGTCATACCTAGCCAGTTGAAGACCTCCAATCACTGGTGTGGCACGCTCCCTCCTTGAGGCCTGTGGGTTTGTTATAATGAACAGCGGACCTGACCAGCCAGCAGCTTACTGTGCAGTCATCTTTTCTTTGTAACCCACAGGCAGTTTAGTTAGCCCTCCAGCCTCTTTAAAAAGTTTGCTGACACTGAACCACTCAGTCATATGGGGTATAGTTCCACTTAACACCCCAATCTGCAGTTCTTTTCTATAGCCAGGACAGGATTACCCTTCCGATTCCTCACAGCAGCTATAGCATTTACATATGCTTTGAGAGATGTGCTTGTGCATCTGATGACTGAGAGAGAGTGTTTTGCCCTTTCTCCTAGCCTCCTCTGTTTGCTGTCTTCATGCTATGACATCATGATGTGAGGTCTTTGATTTAGGGATAGAGGAAGGGGAGCTATAATTCACTTAGTAGTATATCACTTGAGTTTTATCAATCCAGGCATATTTGCAGTTCTTTGTGCTGCTTTCCCCTGAAAAGCTTTCTGTTCAGTCTTGTTGAGCACGTTGAAGAACTGTAGGGCCAGTGCCTTTTGACTAAGGAGATTTGATCTTTTTAAATTGCAGGTTCCATTACAGCTTATAGAAAGTGTTGAATGCCGAGACATATTTCAACTTCACTTGACTTGCAAAGACTGCAAAGTTATCAGGTATGTGGTGTGTGTTTGTTGCTGTTCAGGGTAGAAAAAATAGTGTGTTTTGTTTTTTTAAAGAATGAAGACTCAAAACAACTTTTGAGTGCCATCTTTCTTAGAAATATTTTCTGAACAGCTAGTGCCTGAAATGTCTTATCCTATGATATTTTGCTATATTGAAAGGCATTTTTTTACTTTTTATTTGGAAATAATTTCACATTTTAAAAAAGTACCAGAAAAAAGGTACAAAGAGTACCAGTATATTTTTTATACACATTCATGGATAGCATTTTACCTCATTTGCTTTACCATTTTTGGGGGTTGTTTGGAATGATTTAAAGGTAAGTTTTGTAATCTTGGCTCTTCCCTTCCCTGTTCCCACCTCCCTATGACTCTTTAGTCTCCTTTGATCGGGAACATTTTTATAGCCATTCTTTGTTTTTTATGATATTGACATATTTGAATAATACAATCCTCTTCTCCCTCGTAACAGAATGTTTATCGTTTTATATTTGTCTGATGTTTCTTCATTATTAAATTGAGGTTACGCATTCTCAGCTGGAATACTGTACATATGATGTCTTTTTCAGTGTATTATATCTGGATACAAAGAATGTCCATGTGTCCCTCATTGGTGATGTTAATTTTGATCACTCTAACAAGGTATCACCTGATTTCTATAGGATTTCTCCTTTGCAATGAGTAAGCAATCAATGAGACGCACTTTGTTGTCTTTGTTAAGTGTTGTTGAGGAGGCACTTTAAGACAGCGCAAATGCTCTGTATATACTAATCAAAAGATTTTTCCTTGATTCAGCATCCACTGATGATCTTTATCTGATCTAAAGTTTACTATAATAGTTGCAAAATGATAACTGAAATGCGTTTTTAAGTTTGATAGCTCTATTTATTTTAATCTCTTGACCCTTCTGGGATGCCAGGAAGCATAGGGTGTGGGCTTATTGACAAGACACAACGACTGGGGCTAGAGAAGGGCTTAAGTGACCCCTTAAATGTTCTGAAAGTCAATATTAAAATTACTTTTTATTCATTGATACTCATTTTACTTTTGATGATTCTGGTTACAACTCAGTTTTAAAATCCTGATTATTAATTACTAAATTTTTAATACTTTATACCTTTACAAAGGTAAAATATTTAAGTAAATTCTCCAGTAAATAATTTTACTTGAATTATTTTGCCCCCTGAGTTGCATGTAAAATAAATTAAAAGTGTTAACAGAATTACTTTGTTTTCTATATGGCCATGGCTGAAAGTTTCAGTATAATACACAAGTTTTGTTCTAGGTGTAAAGTTGTTGATTTGTTCCAAGTGCTAAGTAAACACATACTGAAATTATTTCCTAACTGGCCAAAAACAGTGCTGTGTTTTGATTTTTAGTTCATCCTTACACATCACAGCAAAACAACAAACCACTTCTCTAAATGTATTTTGTGAGGACAATCAAGATGTTGATAGAAGAGTAGAGTGAAACTCCATTCATTAAAGAGAGTAGTGGTCATTTTTTTCTTTTTGTTTCTTATGAACTATAGGTACCAAAATAGTTGCCATTTAAATCTATTTTACTTTAATAATTGTCATTAATCAGCCTCAGAAGAGATTTCATTAGTCTTTAAAAATAAGTTTTCTACATGTCCATATTCTTTTGAACAGTTTGTGCTCTCATGGGTAAAATTTGTTGCACTCACTTTTGTTTTACATGAGAATGCATGTGTGACTCTCTGCTTTCTCAACTGTAGTTGCTACTTTTCTATGAGTAGACACACTCTTGAAATGGTATCTTCACTTAAGTTTCATTTTCCAGCTGTCTTTTGATTTTCATACTTGTTTGGCTTTACAAAGGTGTCAGTTCTCAACCTTTGAGCAGTGTCAAGAGTGGCTTAAGCGATTGAATAATGCAATACGACCACCATCTAAAATAGAAGATCTCTTCTCATTTGCATACCACGCGTGGTGCATGGAAGTCTATGCTAGTGAAAAAGAGCAACATGGGGACCTGTGCCGACCAGGTAGGTCTCCTAAAATGTGCAGTGGGGAGCTTTACTGAGCTACTATTTGAGGTGCCTTTCACATGGAATGGGACTCGTAAACATTCAAGCATTCAATCACTGGATAGTTAATGGGACCTCTAAGAGTGCCGTCTGTCTTCTAAGCTCAGAAGAACACGTTTCCTACCTGTCAGGAAGGGAAGAACAATAGATTAGACATCGTAATTTAGTGGGTCTAGGGAAGCCTAGGAGTCCCTGCGTGGTACAAATGGTTACTACTGTACTAGACTGCTAAAGGTTGGAGGTTGGAGTTTACCCAGAGGCACCTCAGGTGAAAGGCCTGGAACTCTACTACAGAAATATCTGCTATTAGGAACCCTATGGAGCACAATTCCACTCTGGTTTTACTGATAAAGAAGCCTAATGGTAAGGAATCATAAGTTTTGAATATTTGAGAAGATGTTAGGTTAGAAATAACTTTTGAGTAAGCTTTGAAGGTTAAATATAAGTTCATTGGTCAGAGAATAGGGAAAATTAATCTTCAGACAAGAGTGAGTGATATGAACAAAGACACAGAAGTATGAGGGTAGGCTCCAAAACAGTTGAGCATAAAATGGCCCTTTGCTTTCTTGGTTTTCTCAAGCCATAGATTACCTATTGACACCTCTTTTAACCCTTATGAAATGAAGACAAAGACCCAGAGAATCCAGGTAACCTCCCCAAAGGTAAATAGAGAAGTGGAGCCTGTCTGGAACTCAGACTTTCTGACTCCTCATAGAGTCTTTGTTTCACACACTGTCTTTCTTCCTCAGAATGACTTTGACCCTATCCATGATATTTCTCTGCATGTTGTTGTCTACAAACTTGATGCTGCCTTAAATAGAACTTTAGAACTTTGCTGGTTCTACACTAACTCTTGGGTGTTCGACTTGGAAACAAAGTCTTGGATTCCTAAAAAGTGAAAAGGTGTGACGCCTCCTTCCTGAGTTTACTCCTGAGACTTGATCTTACAGATCTGCCCCGATCACTTGAAACAGTTGAGTGTAATGCAATGCTCAGATCATTGTGTTCAGACAGTTTCACTGATTGAAGCTTTTGGTCCATATTCTTGTTTGTTTATAACTGAAATATACAAACATAAGCAGTCCCTTATTTTTAAAGAGGCTGGATTCACATAATTTTACCAGGTAGGCTGGTGTGTCTTTTTGGGAGTCAAAAAATAATAAAAAAATTAAAAAATGGAGGCTCAAAATAAGGCCTGTTGCCAAGTCTCACCACTAGTCAATGACAGAGCTAGAATTTAAACCCAATTCTCAGTTATAGAGAGCTATTCGGGGTGCTGTGGGTACAGGGAAAGCCTCCGAATCCAAGCTTCCCAAAGGTCTGTCCAGAGTCATCCATGAGACCACACCAACCCAAGTTGTTTTATTTTTTAATACTCATATACAGTGAAATGCACACATCTTAAGTGTGTAGACCCTGAGTATTCTTCAAAACCTTTGCATCTTATTTATTAAACTGTTAGTCTCTGCCATATCTTAGGATAATGACTTTAAGTGTACCCCGTTGTATAATGCTATACAAAAACTTTGATTTATTTCAAACTCAACTCCAAGAGGCCTTCTCTAGTTTTGGGTGCCAGCGTTTAGTCAGTAAAGCTTGGTTTCTTCTAGCCTATTATTTTACAATCACAGATGGAAATGTCTTCATCTTATTAGATGATTTCATTATTTCCTTGACACTTCACGTCTTTTCTTTTTGGATTTGAATCAGTTCTTAGGATATTGTGAAAATATGCCCAGCCAAAACCTCACTCTTGTATTTTCTTTATGTATGGCTTTGTCTGGAGCTGGGTTGCTTTTTTCGTCTCCCTTTTTGATGGTATCTGGAACTTTCTTGGCCATGGTGCCATACAAACATCTGCAGTGTTTCCTCTGCTTTTCCTGGGCTTTTGATGCATGGTAGCATGATGTAGTTATAGTACTAATTAAGGAGTTAGAAAACATGAGTCCAAACCTGTACCCTACCACTTAATTGAAAAATAACACTGGGCAAGTCATTTATCCTTCTTGTACTTTAGTTATTTTCTCTTCCTCCCCAACGTCCTACAGGTATTTTGTTTCCAATGCTGTATCTATCTTATTTGATTGTTCCTGTAGCGCTTTCCTGACTTCTTCCTTATTTTTCTCAACTCCATTGTAAAGTGATTCCTTTCAGGCATTTTGAAGACCTGCTCTACTTCCAGAATATAGTCCAGGTCTACCTCTAGGTCATATTTGTCTCAGATATTGTATCTTGTTTCTGGACATGTGCTGATACGGTCCTCTGCTTTTGCTTCTTGGACATGTTTAGTGTTTATCTGTGGCCTTAATACTTAATTGAGTATGTGTTTTGCTATTTTTTATGCTTTCTGATTGCGTCCAGGGAGATGTGATCAGGATGTGGGCTTCCCTTTTCACTCTTCTTATTGCTGAACTCAGAGTAACTTTCACAGGTGTTGTCTGTTTTCCTGGTATATGGCAGTTGGTATTGGTGCTTGCCTGGATTTTGGTGTTTTATATAGTGTGATTGTAGCTTGGCTATATGGCAGCAGTTGCTGTCTCTTGGGTAATATAGGGAAAGAAAAGAGTACCCCAAAGGTAAAAGGGGGAGCATAAAACAGCAAAACACCAACACCAACAACAGCAAAAAACTAGACTGGATACGGTAGTCTGTAATTGCAGAAAAGGGAGAAGTGGGAAAGAAGGAACAAAAAAAAATTCTGTAGCCTAATATGAGTATGACTACGCAAAGGCTTTCAATTGTGTGGATCATGACAAGCTATGGACAACATTGAGAAGTATGAGTATTCCAGAACACTTAATTGTACTTCTAAGAAATCTGTACCTAGACCAAGAAGCAGCTGTTCGAACAGAACATGTGAACACAATGTTTTAAAATTGGGAAAGGTGTGAGACAGGGTTGCATTCTTTCACCATACTTGTTCAACCTGTATGCTGAGCAAATAATACGAGAAGCTGGGTTCTACGAAGAAAAACGTGGCATCAGGATTGGAGGAAGACTCATTAACAACCTGCGATATACAGATGATACAACCTTGATCGCTGAAAGTGAAGAGGACTTGAAACATTTACTTATGAAGATCAAAGAGCACAGCCTTCGATATGGATTACATCTCAATGTCAAGAAAACAAAAATCCTCACCACTGGACCAATAAACAACATTCTTATCAATGGAGAAAAGATTGAAGTTGTCAAGGACTTCATTCTTCTTGGATCAACTATCAACACTCATGGAAGCAGCAGTCAGGAGATCAGATGACGTATTGCACTGGGCAAATCTGCTGCACAGGAACTTTTTAAAGTATTGAAGAGCAGAGATGTCAGCTTGAGGACTAAGGTGCGCCTGACCCAGGCCATGGTATTTTCAATAGCCTCACATGGATGCAAAAGCTGGACAGTGAATAAGGAAGATCGTAGAAGAATTGATGCCTTTGAGTTGTGGTATTGGAGGAGAATACTGAAAGTGCCATGGACTGCCAAAAGAACCAATAGATCTGTTTTGGAAGAAGTGCAGCCAGAGTGCTCCTTGGAGGCCAGGATGGCTAAGCTTCGTCTCTCATACTTCGGACATACTGTCGGGAGGAAACAATCGTTGGAGAAGGCTGTCATGCTGAGTAAGGTGGAGGGTTAGAGAAAAAGAGGAAGACCTCTAACGAGATGGATTGGCAAGGTGGCATCATTGATGGACTCAAGTGTGGCAGCGGTAGTGAGGTCGGCCCAGGATCGGACATTGTTTCGTTCTGCTGTGCATGGGGTCGCTATGAGTCGGTTCCGACTCAGTGGCACCTGACAACAACAACAACAATATGAGTATGATTTTAAGGTCCTCTTTCAGCTTCTTGCCTTCAAAGCTGCCTGAGAGATTTCAAGATGCCGCTGTTGCTTGTTATGCTGTACCTCAGGATTTAATTTACCTTTCAGCCTGTTTTGTTTTTAAACTCAGTCTCCACACCCCTTGTTCTGGCTTTTCTGTATTAAAAAAAAAACAACAGTTCACTGCAGGCTCTTGGGCTGAGAGTATCTGTGCACATACGTGGCAGAAGAACCCACCAGTGGTGCGGGTAGAGGGTGTCCACTCACCCAGGCACCCTCTCTAGTCAACAGAATGGAGGTGCACAAACAGTGGGGAGCCAATGTACAGATACCAAAAAAAAAAAAGGAAAATCAGAACAAAGCAAAACCGACAAAGAGTATTGTCCACCTTTGCTCTGAGGTTCCTGTGGCGTTTTTCCGTGGTGTGTCTGCTCCCCGCTTGGTCTTGCCGTTTAGTCTCGCCCAAGTTGTCAGTTCCGGGTGCTGAGCCCAGCAGATTCAAAAGTACGCGAATTTCTTACTTTTGCTACAAGTTCCACTCTCTATAAGCCTTCAAACCTTTTAATTATTCCTATCACTGTGGTTCCGAGTTTTGGAGCTCTGCCCCAAATCTGGTTTGCCTGGTATTCTATGGTATTGCTGATGGCGAACCTCATTACACCTCCACCTAGCCGCCATCAAGCCCTGCCTCTTCCTACAGGTCTTTTGAAGATCAAATCTGTTAATGCTCAAGTGTTTAATGTAGTCATTGTTTGAATGCCTCCCATGTGTGCCATATTGGGAAAATATTTGTAATACTAGGTGATGGGACCACAACTGATGGGTTGGAACTTGTGTCTTTCCAAGATACACAGTCTGTATGGAAGGTTTCTGCCTCCACCCACCTGGAATCTTACTTTGTCTAGTGACTTAGTTTGATTGTATGTCTGTGTATGCTTTTCCCTTTCATATATTTTCACTATAGACAGCTGAGCAAAACTTGTTCTTAATCAGAAATACCATCTTTAAAGCCAGTCAGCCTGATTCTTCTGTCTTCACTCAGCGTTGCTCACCTAGTATGAGCATTCCAGGCTTGGTGAGACAGCACTTCCAGGGTTGTCACAGTGATGCCTTTGTTTATAATCTAGCCCAACACATGAAAGGAC